GAAGCAGGAACCTCCGGGCTCGGGTCTGTCTGGGGGTGACGCGATCTGAACGGGCGAACGCCTCCGGCTCGCCTTATATACGCACGTCGCCGCGCGGCAGGAGGCCCCGCCCAAGGTGCGCGCGCAGAGGACAGGAGGGAAGGAGGGAGTGAGCGAGCCTCCCCCCTTCTCTCCTATTTATTTTGGGTCTTCACATCCTAAACTCAAAACTCCAGTCATCTGAAGAAGGGGGCTGTGCCCACGACAGCTCATGATCCCAGCTACCTGCTTTGTTAGTCTATAAAGTGCTACCAGACCGTTCCTTGTTTTTTCTTGGTGCATTGGTGTGTTTCTCCCAACCCTCTCCCCCGCCCAGCAAGGACAGTGGGCCCCATCCCTTCAGTAGCCTTTGCACCCCAGCTAACCAGTGCTGCCACTTCCTCATCTGTTTGCTCGACATCCTGGTCCTTGGCACACCTCTGCATCTCCAGGCCCTTCGTGTACCTGCAGAACACAGACATACACACACAACATCAGCCTTAGTGCAGAACCAGCTCTGGCCTTCCCCTCCCAGCCCAAACTCTTTGGCTACGTCTAGACTGGCATGATTTTCCGCAAATGCTTTTAACGGAAAAGTTTTCCGTTAAAAGCGTTTGCGGAAAAGAGCGTCTAGATTGGCACGGATGCTTTTCCGCAAGAGCACTTTTTGGGAAAAAGCGTCTGTGCCAATCTAGACGCGCTTTTGCACAAAAAAGCCCCGATCGCCATTTTCACGATTGGGGCTTTTTTGCGCAAAACAAATCTGAGCAGTCTACACTGGCCCTTTTGCGCAAAAGCTTTGCGCAAAAGGGACTTTTGCCCGAACAGGAGCAGCATAGTATTTCCGCAAGAAGCACTGATTTTAGACAATAAGTCAGTGTTCTTGTGGAAATTCAAGCGGCCAGTGTAGACACCTGGCAAGTTTTTCTTGCCAGTCTAGACACAGCCCTTTAGTTTAAGGGGACTATCTGTTGGGATTCCTTCTTCTCTGGAAGAGTGGCGCTGCTGGCGCACATACTTACGTACTTTCTTTCAATGACAGACCGTCCCATGGAGAATGTCGCTTTCTTGGGAAGATGACATGGGCCACCTATGTATATGTTGGACCATCCACACCCACACCGCTGTATAATAATAATTAATAATACTTTGCATTTCTATAACTCCTCCTCTACAAGGATCACTATCAACAAAAAAACAACCAAGGTGAGAACAGCTCTTTATCTGTGTAGATTCTTATGTTAGTACCCTTCCTATCTAATTGCCATCCTATGATCCTTATCTGCTTTTTTTAATTATCCAATTTTTAGGTGCTTATAGATTACCAGTTTTGCCTGTTTGGTTTTCCCTTTGATATTTATATACCCTCTGCTTCTTGTTTCCTACACCCTTCCATTTTTTTTCCTTACCCCTTCTCCTCTATTTATTTTGGATCTGGACATCCTAACCTCAAAACTCTGGTCATCTGAAGAAGTGGGCTGTGCCCACAAAAGCTCATGATACCATCTACATGTTTTGTTAGTCTATAAAGTGCTACCAGACTATTTGTTGTTTTTTAAGTTTATACTTTACAGCCATGCGTTGATACCATTGCTTTTACCTCTGGTTTAAAATATAAAGAAGAAAACCTTTTCATACTTTAATCTGAGATTTAATGTATCATTTCCCAGCCATTACTTTTGTTTCCTGGTGTGAGACAAATGCATGTTAATCTGATTACATCTTTTTCAGGACTGAATCTGCTCAGTTATAAACCCCAAGGAGCCAGAATGGCCAGAGTCATTTACTATAGTCCATATAATAGTCTTGAAGCCAAATTACTCCCTATCTACATTTGTACAACCAGAGTGAAATTAGCAGAGTCATCTAGTAGTAAACACAGCACAGAATCTGGCCCTGAGTATGTTGAAACGTAGATGCATATTCTTCTAGAATAACAATAATAGGCTGTTTAACTACGATATACACTTATATCGTATTTTGGGGAGAAGTAATTTCTTGATCCCATACATAACCATTGTTTTTCTGTCAATTTGTTTTGGCGATGGCTTTAGTTGTACAGGAAATGAATGTAAATGATTCATTGACAATGACAGTTGCTCATTTAGATTTGATATCCGGACAGTGATTTTAGAGACGTAACACAATGACAATGCACTTTAAAGGGCAGATTTCAAACTATGAGTCTGAACTATATCAGTACAGAAGACTATTTACAAATGACTGATTGGAGGATTACTGGGGTTTTAAAAAAACTTCTGACAATCTTCGAAAAAAGGCTCTTACGGAAAATAATAATGATAAAGTTTGAATCAAAATCCTAGTGGGTCTTACAAAGGAATCAAACAATAGGGAATTAATTGAGATGTAAACAATTTCTACTCCTCAAAGTGAAGGTAATTCTTTTGTTGGGGCCCTGAAGCCATCCAAATTAGGATGCATGATTTTATGTTAATAATTTACAGGAGAAAGCGGTCACATTGGTAAAGCTCACCAATGATGTAATAATGGTATGACACCCAAGAGTTCAGTTTAAAAAACTAAATTTTATTTCAAGTCACTGGACCTGGGTCAGAGTGAGAAAAGTTAATGGCTTTGTCATATGAGTTTTCCTTATTTAAATTAAATGCACAGAAAAACATAATGTTGTTTAAAATAAGAACCACAAACTAAACCAGCCAGTTATTAAAATAGTAATTGAAAAGTCATGGATGAAGGTCAGGGCAGACAATCCAAGCTCTCTGAAGGCATGTCTACACTCACCGCACCGGAGATCAATGTTCTGGCATTCAATTCAGAGGCTCTAGTATAGAACCATAAATCTAACGCTAAAGGCAGCTCCAGCCAGCGCCTGTACTCCTCACAGTCGCGACGAATATGGGAAGCCAACTGGAGTGTTTGCTTCCATCGGCCTCCTGCTGTGTGGACGCTGCCAAGCTCGGCTTAAGGTAAGCCAACTCCAGCTATATATTCTACGTAGCTGGAGTTGCGTACCTTAAGCCAAGCTGCCAGGTCTAGCGTAAACCTAGCCTGACAACTGAGAGGACTATTTTGTGTCTTATTTAGTATTGCCAAACTCACATGTTCAAATCAAGAGGTTTTTTTTAAATAACCAATAAATCTTGGGCTTTCTTTGTTTATTTTCTGGTTTCTGAGCCTTGAGGATGCCCTGTGGTCATACACACACAGCCTAGAAACTTCCATTTCCTTAAAATGAAAGCTAAGATTCTCAAATAATTTCATGATTCCAGGAGACCCATGATAAAATCACCATGACTGAAACTCAGCAGTTTTTCTGATCAAATGTTCACTTCTTGTTCTCAAAACAGTTCCTGTTGTAATGACCTTCTTCAGTCATTAAGATGGATCCACAATATAGAGCTTATAATGACTACTTCTTTTCATTGGGTGTGCGTGTATGTTACATTTTCAGAACAGAAATACAGGCAAAGGCATTCTGGATGTGCTAAGGAAACAGCAAATATCCTTCTTGGTTTTGTTTAGATGTCTTCTGTCTTCTTGTAGGTATGATCATCAGATTATGTGGTTATCATATATGACCTTAGTGTGGATCAATTACTATAGCAGGTTGCTAGCCTCTTGTTGCTTGAAAACTTACGTTTTCCTTCACTTATAAAATAACTCACTCTGTGACATTCTTGTCTCAGTATTTTACCTGCTTTTACTTGCCTGACATATTGCTTTCATTGTGACTAGTTCAGGTTTTTTATTATATTTGGCTCAAGAAGCTTGCCAGATGTTCACACTAACGTTTTTCTTCTTTTGCTCATGAGTCTCTAAACTGGTGACCCTAAAACAATAATTGTGCAACGCATTGCCACATTCTAGAAATATGAATATTGAACCTACAAAGTGCTAGTTCTCCTGAATCAAGTTCTTTCCTTTTTGTGTTGACTTGCCTTTTAATCCTTTTGACTGTGCATGACTTAATATAACAAAGAATTGCCAAAATGAATTACCTGTGAATTGGGGGCCAGTGCTATTTACTTTTCTACAATCTTTTAGTGAACAAACTGTGATTTACAATGTGGTATAACATTGCTACCTGAAATGTTGTGCAACAGCTCAGTTAAAAAACATAGGCGCAATAAAAAATAATCTTTTCCATTTAACTCAAGATAGTTCTGTACCAGCCTTAGCCTAAAGGTGATCAAGGTTGTCATGTGGTTTCATTGGTTCTTTTATATTCTGTTTTTTTTTAATTGATTGTAGGTTTCACAGTTGTAAACCTTAGCTTTAATGACACCTTTTACGCCTACTGATAGGATTGGGCACATCTTGGACTCTTCCTCCTACACTTCTTTATACCCAGATGGACACAGTGAAGTAAGTGTAGCATTTCCAACCTCATGCTGTGGGCTTTTTATAATAGTATGTCCTTCATACATCCAAAATTCAAATATAACAATTTTATAATTACAGGCAGTCCCCGGGCTACGTACAAGATAGGGACTGTAGGTTTGTTCTTAAGTTGAATCTGTAAGTAAGTCGGAACTGGCATCCAGATTCAGCCGCTGCTGAAACTGACCAGTGGCTGACTACAGGAAGCCTGAGGCAGAGTTACTCTGCCCCGGGCTTCCTGGAATCAGCTGCTGATCAGTTTCAGCAGCAGCTGACTTGGGGACGCTTGGGGTTCTTAAGTTGATTCTGTATGTAAGTCAGAACTGGCGGTCAGTTTCAG